TCTTTGTTGAAACAGTCGCTCGAATAATAGGCTGAAAGCAAGACACTCGTCGACAGAAATCCCCGTCATTCTCCTATAATAGCTTCAGACTCTGATTTGAGACTCTTGTAATACGTTCCGCTGCTGTAGGAAGTCTGTCAGATGTTGCAAACAGTCATTATGACCTCCACAAATGATTCTGCTTCTCGGAGTGTCCTAGGGTTCATTTATGCGGAATGACTCGTCTCTTTGCTAGTTCCTTTGGTTTCAGGCTGGAAGTTAATGTAGACATGACTCGTCGTCTCCTGTCGCGTTTATCCTTCGCTTCATACGGCCAGCAATTCCCTGCTGCGGTGATGGAGCGCGTGGTCAGGGGTTGTAGAAGGTCAGCGTAAACAACTCGTGGTTTGAAAGCCCCTTTACGGTGGGTTCCGTTTTCATTTGAATTGCCCTAACATTTCAGTTCCAGAGCTCATGGGTTGCACTCACGTTAATGCATGCTATATACACTTTACATTTCGCTGTCGATGCGAAAATCTCAGGAGGTGAGGTCCGTGACCTTCGTCACATATATATGATCATTGTGCTCTTGTGGGTATTTTGTACGCATTTTACAACAGAAGAAATCTGCAAAATCGTTGAAGCATTAAAATACATGGTCAATCTAAATGATAAACCACTACAGTACATGTTGGCTTGTCGTTACAATGTGGTAGAATGGTGTTCTTGTGTGCATTCACCTGGTTTCAAAGCCTTGCACTTGAATATTGTTGTAGTGGGATCCCCTTAGGTGGCTGTTGTTAACACTGTCAAGTGTGTATGTGTTTGTTGTGTCAGTGTTGGCAGCCAGAGTCAGATCGAAGATAATTTTTTCCCCATTTAAAAAAAATTGTTCCTAACCTAACCTCAACACATTTCAACGTATTAATATCGCATCTATTGCTCGTAATATTCTTTTCTGTATTGTTTTAAATATGTGCGTCATATTGCCTTACGTACGTGGATAGATGACACAGAGACTGCACTGCGCAGCGTCCCAGAAGTCAGTGATCTTAAGTCTGTGCCCGTTTGTCACTCGACTCACGAAGACGGCTTACGATTCGTCGATATAAGTTTCTCAGATTCGGAATTACTCGCAGCCTCCCCCCTCTCTCTCTTCCCCGTCTCGAAAGAGATTGTCATTGTTTCTCCCAGACCAAAACTGGGAACTTGATTGATCTCAGTAAAAGCAAATGTTAAGTCCAGACACGTACGACGCATGCAGAAGGCCGATGACCGACTGAGAGGCGCTGTGTTTGTGTCCCCGAATCGAAAGAGAATCTTCTGCTCTTAAACGAATGGTCTGCGTCTGAAATAAACCAGCGAATAAATAATTGTGTATAAAATCACATAAATAAATCCTAAAACGCCGCTGAGATACGTAAGGTTACGCTGTACATACATAGATCGATTCTCACGTGTGACAGTCGTAAGCGCAGTGGGTATTCGGAGAATTCCAAGGAAAATGAAACACATTAATGTGAGCGTGGACGTAATTACAAATTTCAATGCGTACACCGCTGAAAGCATCCATGTTCTTGGACAATTTCCTTTGCCTGTTCAGTTAAAAACTAATATACGAAATACAATAAAAGCTTTCAAATTGGAAAATTAATCGTTTGCCCCCCAGGCTTTTGCGTTAATTTCTTAACAGACGGATGGTCTCAGTTACGCACAGTGACTGTAGCTTGCTTTCTTTACTCGAAAATTCGCTCCCAGCGACATCTGCGCGAAATTACGAACCAAACTTTACGACGCAAAATGATTAATCGCCTAACCTAACCTTTTGTTTTATGTAAGTGCCGGTACGCGGCGTGACTAGCATTTTAATGCAAATAAACGTTCGCTTAGTTGAATTCCACGGGTAGAAAGTAGGTCGTGTACTGGGGCCAACAACAGTTTCCCCCCGCGTTTCCCTTTTGACATGAACAGGAAAAGTCCATTTTTCCCCGAACTTTATTGTTCGACACGGCGAGACAATGTCTCTTGTGTTACTGTTCAAATCTCTTATTCATTACTCATTAGTAATCCTAATATTCGACTCTGTATAGTCTGAGCTACTGGTGGCGTCGTTAAATAATATTGCTGTGTCTCGAAAAAATGTGGGTATACGGTTCTTTCTTTCCAGTGGTCCAGGTGTTTGCTTTAAATCTGACGTGAAGTTGCTGATAGCGGGACAACTCCGAGACGCGATAAGTCGCGTTATCTGTACTCGGGACAGGACGGGCATTGCCGTGTGGCGATTTCACAAATCGATCCCTGCGTGTGGCATCTACGAGGAATCCCAAAGACTTTGGCCGTTCTTGAAAGCAGAAACAGAACGGAGACTCGGCCTGTGTATCGATCTCTGGTTCATCTGCGCAGTCGCCTGTTTTAAAATCCGTCACTCCCATCCAGACTTCAAGCGAGACAATTTTGTATTTTTGGGCGATGCATTGATACACATTTAAACAGAACGAGTTTCAAAGTAGAATGCATGGATAAATTTTGGTCTCAAGGTGTTTCTCCTTCTCTCTCTTTTATATTTCTTTCTTTTTGTTTGTGGTACTCGTGAAGACAGTTTATTTTGTAAACAGTGGCTGATTATAAAGTGCAGTGTATGGATTCTCTTGGCAGATGGCGTTGGCAACCCAACGTCGTGTCATAGCCTGGTTCAAATCTCGGCTCGGATACAGTCAAAAATTTTCGTGATTTTCTCAATCCTTCTAGGTATATGCCGAAATGTTCCTTAAATTAGGCCACTACAATTCATAATTCATTAATCGATTCTGTGTAATCTCAGCGTTACCGAAACGTTATGGAGCCCATCCATTTTTTCCCCCAAGAAGTTACTGGAAGAAATTTCTAAGTGGGTAGAGCCGATAATAACTTGAAGCTGAAAGTTCGCACCAAATACTGACATGATATTTAATCTCAGTATATTTATCGCTGTGACTGATATAAAAATCAGAATTTGAGGAGTTGCCTGCCAGTTGAAATTTTGAACGCTGGAGCTGGACTTCAATGTTGTTTGTGTTCTTAATTTTTTCAGTTTTAATTTCTGTATTCTTTTTCCATCGCCTCCTTCCACATTCTCTCTCTTCTCTTCGATGTCGTCTTTCAATGGCGAGCCACAATTTGGACGGAAAGAAGATTTCCAGCGATTATAAAAATTCACCAGAACGAGCCACAGAAGACGACATTCGGACGGCCAAAAATAAATCTTGCCACTGCGAAGGAATTTGCATTAACTGTGGCTGCAACTCTTTCCAGTACGTTTTCCCAGTGTGCAGTTTATTAGTTTAATTCGGCGTAGTGAAACTGGCGGCCCGCAGGCCACATCCGACCAGAGACCACTTGTAACCTGGCTTGCGAAATTATCAGTTAATTTGTCACTAGTTACTACACGTTCATTTATATTATTGACTTTAAGAACCTATCGTAAATGTAAGTTTCCCACTCAGAAATTGTGCCAGATACAAGCTATTGCAGAAGCAAGTTTAAAATAGGACGTAACTCGTGCACATTTTGATAAGATCACCTCCAGACACAACTGTGTTGTCTACTATTTCATCTCTGGTATGTTTATTTTATTTTACTTTCCTTATAATATTATTTATTTATTTAATTATTTTCTATATTCATCCATATTCAATAATGTTTCTTTGAATCATTTACTTCACAGACCGATCATCACATCAAAAGCATCACTTCAAACATTATATGAAAATATCTGGACACGACCTCCAAAAAACTACACTACGAAAAATTGTAAAAAATTGTAATTGAGTTTTAAATTTAATATAATTTTACACCTGATGATGGTTTAATAAAACCGAAACATGTTGTAACTGTTCCAATTGTAAATCGATTATTCGATATGGAACACAGAATGATATTTTAATTATTTTAATTATCTTATTTTAAATACATTGTGATTTGACGGAATAACCAAATAATTTAATTTTAATTTAATAAATCACAATATGACGCAACTACACTATCTTAAGATTTATATTTGGACGAAAAATATGATCATTTGTTATTTCCGGGTAAGTGTTGTTAACGACGACGAAATCTGATTACTACTCGTTTTAAAAAATAGTGCCTGGGCGTGGGGGGTTTCTTGAACATTTATTTTGTTTATCGCATGGCATTAGAAGCACGAATATTTATCTTCTACACGTGTGTCAAGTGTCCCAGCTTTACCTTATGTTTCCTTCCTGTAAATAACAACCGCCTCTGCATTCGATGACGGTAAGTAAGGAGCTCGTGGTGGCAATGCGCATTGCAAACGGTCTGTCTTGAGTAAGAATAGAAATGCGAAAATAGTCCACTGTAATCGTCATTCAAGGTCATGTATCCAAATATATCGCAATGTTCAGTGGCGGATGGTTTATACCGCGGCATCAGTTCGAATCCTGCGTAATCCAGTAGCTGGTCATTTGGTTATTTTTAAGACAGCGTAAACATTAATATTTCCACGCACTTTTCCCTTCGTTTCCACAGAAATGCCCTAAAATTTGGTGACCCAGTTAGAAGGCCGCCTCTTCTCAGATTATCATCTTATAGTCATATTCTACACTACGCAGCAAAATAAATTGATGCTGTGCTTTTTAAATCGAGTTTTATCCGTCTGCCTTCTGTAATTGGTTCCGGAATGATGAAAAAGTATTTATTGTCTCGTTGTCATCGGCAACCTCGTCTCCGCTCGCGTCCCATTTATAAGGAACCAATAAGAATCCTGCTCGTTTTATATGTGTCTCGATATTTCTAGCCACAAAACATATCTGCAGATTTCCCTCTGCGTGTGTGCGCATGTGTGATGAAAATGTAGGCCTGAACTGGGTATGTTGTTAGGAAATCAAAACTGATTATATCCAGGCCCATAACATGGGCCTATTTCGCGGGAGTTTCAAATCTCATTATGACTTTGATTTTTACCTGCCCCCATATAGAAGTAAACACCAATAAATGTGTCGCTTCTCTCGTGTTTCCAATAGACGCAGCTTAAGGCACAGTTGTGCTTCTGAATCTCCATCTGGAGGCTCGAAGAACGTGGCTAATCCCGTGTTTCTCCTCGCCTCTGTGTGTTGCTGTATCCGCCACTGGTGGTCCCTGTCTTGGCTGTGTTCATTGAATTGGCCGTAAGCCCAGATGAAACATCTGAACACACTACACAGTATACACACCTCAGAAGACTTACCGTCTTATTATACAATAATTTCCGGCACACTGCACTTCAGGTATCCTTTTGCAGCTCGCTGATTGAATTCCCAGACGTTCCAGGATTTCACCGGGAATGTCTCACCTAGTGCAAATTTTTTTGTGAAACTGTAAATTAGAGATGACGCATTGCTATTTGGACAGAGCAGTAGAGGGATTGAGAGTCATCTTGGCTGATATCCCAATGTAGGAACGGAGAAGGAACCCAGTCAAACACTGTGGCCCGTTAGTGCACCAGGTCTCTCCTCGAAATTACCAAGACTTCAGCGCGAGGAAGATGTGTTGAAGGGCAATGACAGTAATCTTTTTCACCGAAGGGGGGTAAAGATAGGGGTGGTGTATATACATTAATTTTTATCAGGGGTGCAGACCTTTTATCTGCCTGTGTGTGTGTGTCTCGTAACTGGGCTCAGAAAAAAAAGTGTGCTTATGTTTTAATCATCGACGTACTTTTAAAATGACCAGAAAGTTGTTCTTTTCTAATTTAACGTACAGTTCTTTTGAGTGTATGGAATTTCTGTTAAAGACAGAGGTCGTGATGTCAAGTCGTCTGTAAGTGTTGCAGCTCTGAACCCCTGATTCTTTGAGCTTAGGATGGCATGGCGTGTGACGCAAAGCCTTCGGTTTTCACGTACTCCATGCGAGTGGAATGGCTGGGTCTCGATGGCCGAACTCGAGTTAACAATTCCATGCGCGTGGAATGGAGAGGCGTCGGCTTCAACGACCACCGAGCCCTGTGCGAAGTTGAAGAAACCTCCTCCATAGCAACGGAGGCCAGGGCAGGGACTTCCGCCCTTCTGAGCGATTCGCTTGCCCACACTGCAAGGTGTCTCCTGCATCTGTTGGTGTTGGTTGCGCTGATATTTGTGTTGGGCCGGGGTCCCGGTTTCCGTGTGTTCAGAGTCCCCTTCGGTCCACACAGCTGGGAACTGGATCCTCTGATCTGCGACTGGAGGGTCGTCGAGCCTCCATCCACGCCAGACGTCCGTCCACGGCGATGTATTTCTGCTGGAGCAATTCTTCAGGCGTAAGAAACGATAAGATCTTTTACACGGGCAGTGAACACTCAGACGTAACCAAACCAGCGAAGTTGGCCTCCCAGCGAGCTATATTTTTAAAACATCGAACATGAATTTGTGATAGAACGTTTTACTTATTTTAATCATAACAACCCACCCGTAACTTTATCAGATATTAATTGATACCACAACTGTACGACCGTTCAGTATTCCCGTTTGTGATACCAAGGCTTCAAACAAAGACCTCTGTAGCTTTCTTATGCCTTTAATCTCTGCAAAGAAGCGGCCATTAGACCCACACAGGCCTAAGTCTTAGCTTCTTGCGTGGTTTTACTCGGGCCGTTTCACGCACCTTGTAATCTCTTCTCGTGACTGAAACATGTTGGTCGAAAGGCCAGGAGACCTCTGTGCAGTGTTCTGTATTAAATGATGCCAGAAATCGCGTGGCTTGGAAGCAGCGTTGGCTAGGCGCCTTGCGATTGTTTTTCGAGTGAGTTCTCTCACGCTCCAATGATGTACCTGCCGATGAGGGGCACTCAGTCCGTTTTATCATTTCCAGATACGCAAATGAAGCTTTGACGGTGGCGATACGTTCTTCTCCTTATGCTGAGGCTTACTACGTCCCACGATGCCGGGGCCAGGTATCATTAAGTCGCTTCGCTGCCGTGGTAGTATATTATATTTAGGTTTCTGGGGATTCAAATCACCAAATTCGTCCATCAACCTTTGCGTTCGAAGGCTGGATTTTCTGTCGCTCTGAATCATATGCCTAAAAGATGTCTTGCTGTACTAATTCCGTTCATGGTGTCAGCGACTCCTTTATGGTCATCGTGGGCGGAAGAGTTTTCATGTCCATGGGATTCAAAATCCGTAACGAAATCCATATAATTATCTCCAGGACTGTTTATAATCTCAGTACGAACTATCGATCGCTGTGCAGAAATTTCCTATCCCAGGAATTTCTGCTCTGTATCTCATCGGGCTGTGCAGGGTTCATCCTGACTCCTTATGTGACATTGTAGCTTCAGTTGTCAATACTTACCTTCACCTTATTGGTGATGATTGAAACGTGTAATGAAACTCATGAGATTGTAAAATTCGTAATGAAACAAAACGTAGACTTTCTCTGAACAAATCTTACGAGGGACTAATATTTTCGAATTCCACGTCATTTCAGAAACTCAAAGAATCATTTTTGTTTACAAGATTCTGTCACTGGAATCTTTGCTGTGGATAATATTAAAATGGTTCTTAAGAAATATGGTATGAGGATATGGACTGGATTCATTTGGCTTATGTTAGAGGTCATGGCACTTGTTAAAACACTTGACCAGTACTGCAACTATTAGCTTCTCATGAAAGATTCAACTCTCTGAAGTTAAAAGATGCAAATGTGCTTGTTCTCAGTGTATATAACAAAGGTGGAATAATTAAGTAATGGAAAAAATATATTATATATGTCAATGAGGAGGCAGGTAGATGAACTGAAATTTCCACTTAGGAGAGGGTAAATTAAGGAAAAAAGGAATTTGTTCAACGATGAGCTCCAAAACACGGAATGGGAAGTGTTGCCACATTCTAATCCAGGTTTGGCTTTATCCGATATTCAAATCCTCACTGCAACCAAGAACGTGTGAAATCAATGAAAAAGTCAAAATAGAAGTAGGAATGATAGAAGTTCGCTTGTGGCAGACGGTCCAGCCGAGTAGTCATCACTCCAGCATCAGTTTTCAGGAGCTCCTAAATGACTAAATATTTAATTTGTTTATTTCCTTACAGATCAGAACCTCGTAACTCATTTTCAAACGATCCAGCCGAAGGAGAGGAAGAGGAAATCTTGGGATCGGATGACGATGAGCAGGAAGACCCTCGAGATTATTGCCGAGGTGATGAGTTTCCTTAATTTGTTTAATCGTGGTTAATTTAATTATTGTTATTGCTGTAGCACATAAGAACATTAATGAGCTCAGGACTCTGACATGGAGATACAGGTATGGAAGTACTTACATGTTCTTTCTTTCATATGTTGCACTCTGTGCAGTAAGTGCGGCAAGAATTATAAATTAATAATTATGTAATTTATTATTGTTTTTGTCTACTTTCAACTGTTACAGATTCCGATTATAAGTTTTTTTTAGATACCTCGTACAATTACGTTGTTGGTAATTAACATATAAAAAAAGAGAACCTCATTTAATTTGTAGGCATATTTATGATTATCCCCACACAACATTGAGATCAGAATTTAAATATGGA